GACGTCATATTGGAATAGTAACCGAGCCCGACGCCATATTGGAATAGTAACCGAGCCTGAAGCCATGTTGGAATAGTAACCGTGCAGACTGTCAGCGCTAGGTTTGCAGCCGAAATTGAGGATTTTGTAGCTTTAACACGACCATTAGGTGTTTCGCTAAATTGAATTGAAGTTCGAATGTTCGAATTAGTACTATGGCCAACTTGAAGGCTGAATTTCATGAGCCTTTGACTCGTCTAGGCGTTAAACATGACCAGGAGATGAGTATTTGTTTGCTAGAAAGTGGCCTGACATGCTAATGTGGTAAGCTCTGATGAGAATGTGTTTTATTCGTCGACCTTAATGAACTTATATGAGCGAAGCGAACAATTTTCAAAAACAAAACAGCTATTGAAAACAGGACAAACATCGGCACCATAATATCATATTGTAATTTCATTTTTATAATTTAGTAGCATCTAGACCTGAGCCGGCCAACCGAAATATTGTTCTACAGTGCTGCGCGCGGTACCGTGAACACCCAGACATTTTTTTTTCTTTGACATTTTTATGACATATTTTTGACATATTTTTGACGAGTTGATACAGGCGGGATAGGATTCGGCGGAAACCAAACATGACTAAAGCGCTGGAGTTTTAAAAGCTCACGGTTGTGAAAGATATACTGAAATATTGATCAAGAGTTCTACAATGCTACACACTCGCGTTCAAAGTGCTTGTAAGTTTTCCTTTTCTAAAATATTTGAACTCGGGTTTGCTCGACGATCCGTTTATTTTTTCTTTCTACGACCTAACAGTGTGGAAAACTTGTGACATTGCGTGACATTTTAGGGACTTACACGCTCACTCTAGCTTTATGGGCTTGCGAGTTTATTCGTTTTCTTTTATTTTGATGATGGACTGTTGATTCGAAGACTTATTGATTCTGACGTTGATTTATCAGGACATGTTTTGTTGTGATTGAGGACAACGAGTGTTACATGTTACTTAGGATATCAGATGTTTATTGTGTAGAACATTCTAGAACGTTCGAGAACAGGCTTAAAATAACTTTGGGTCGGATTTCAAGTCATGTGATCATCGCTTTTCCGGCGCGTGTGAGTCAATCGAAAATCGAGCATGTAATCAGCTACAATCACAGCGAGAATATATTTGGTTAAAAGGTGAAATTGTGAGTCCTTCAGTGTCTCAGGGAATTCGTGACAGGGCAACTTAAAAATTCCCCACAACAACTGTCTCGCCAACGAAATTATATTTTTATTCTATTTTACAATAGCTGACTGAATAGGTATGGTGGAAGCTTTGATAATGGAAGAGCCCTACCTGCAATGTACAGAGAACGAGTGTTGAACCTTTATCATGATGGATTTGGCAACCGTCAAATCGCACGGGAAATTAGTTCGAGCCTCGGTTTTGTACAGAAAGTGATAGACCGTTACAATGAACAAAATACATCCCTCAGAGGTATTAGAGTTGGCTTTCCAAGTCCCAAAATGGATGAACAAGTCGTGGAGTATATAGAGGTACAAAACTAATGAAACCGAGCACTTACTCGACCGAATTACAACAGAGGCTTTTACTTGATGGCGTGCCAATCTAGCGAGCGTATCACAGATCAACAAGGTCATTCGCAAAGAACTTGTAATGACGAGAAAGAAACTTACAACTCTTCCACTCGAATCTACAACCCCTGAAGCAACAACAGCTATCGATGATTTTCTTACTGAACTAGACGCTTGCTACGTGTACCCAGGCAGTCGTTATACTGAGAAGCACTAGCTATATTGCAATTGAGCTAAA